CGAAACTCCCTGACATTTTCCCCTCACATTTCCCCCACAATTCCCCCAACATTTCCCCTCACATTTCGCGTCGTCAACTTTGACAATGACTTTTCGCCTGGCTTCCAAATGTTATGGCAGCCGACTCAGTTTTCCCACCCATTTTTCCTTCATTTTCCCGTCGTCTGTGTCTACGCATTTGTATGCGGCGGGCAACCTTCTAGTCTGATGTTCTCGATTCTGTTATTCTGTTATTGTCGCTGCAAATAGCCGTATTCCTTTGTTGTGCAAGGTGATATGGCAACTTTGGCTTCAAGTTTGCATTGCTAAGTAAATAGAAGCAAAATGAAATCCCTTGATTGCACAACTATGTGACAACTAGGTATTCGGAAGAATCAGCATTAAAAAAAAATGGGAGGAATAATTCATTTTATAAATGACTGAAAAACATTTGAGGACAACTAAAGCTACGGAATTAATAAGTTGGGTTTAGAAACAAACACAGCATAAATATAAAAATATTGTAGTGGCTAAATTACAGACTTTATATCAATTTCATAGTAGATTATAAGAGTATTTATTTGAAATGGTTGCAATTCCAGTCATTTCTCCGCAATTATGTTTTATTTTTCAGCCAAACGAGCTTTTTATTAAAACGACTCCTTTGCCTTTTCAGACATTCCTTTACAGAGTATCCCATTACCAGCTGAAAGCTAGCCAAATAAGCCACCTCCAGTGGCTCTTGCTTTGGGCGTTTAATTCAATAGACATTCAGGCTTGCCTGCGACAACGTGGCGTATGCGCAATAATCCACAAAACAGACAGCGGCAGATGTCTCATAAAAAGGAGCCATCCCCCGCCGAAAAACAGTTTGGCCCCCGTGGCCTCGGATTACTGATGTTGTGTTTTGGTTGGTGTTTTGGGACTCTGGGTCTCATTTGGTTTACTCTGGGAATTATGTTATGTGAAATAATGCAGCATCATTTGTATACTCGTATGCTGGCCAAAAGCAGAACGACATTGAGTAATGAATGCAAGGCACAAGAGGATGACTGTCTGTCTGTTTCTACCCTCTGTGAATCCTTTCCTTTGGCATTAAAAAGTCTGATTTTTCTGCATTTGCTAGATGATAAGGGGGTCCAAAGGAAACGCATGCCATAAACTCATTTGCGGCTGTTCGCTGGGACACACACAGTCTCAATAAATTTCAATGTCTATCGGTTAAGAACCCCCGTATTTTCCAAACAGCTGACAGCTGTGGGTGGCATGCATTATGTATTATGTGAGCTGTCACCAATAAATTCCCATGTAAGCAACTGATATTGACAGCTTGAGTACGACAACGTAGCGTTCGAAATTATATGCACGTACTTAAGCACAGGCATCTCCCTCTGTGTGGAGGAGTACATAGTCCTTGGTCCTGAGTGCTGAGAACAGGATACAGGATAATAATGGGCAGCATATTTCGCACCACCTAACCACATCATCAAAATGGCGAAGGGAGAGGGTGCTGGGTGAGTGCCAGGACCTGTTTACACAACACATTCTGTGGCACACTTTTTCGGGCCGACCCCCCATCCATTATTCCATTCTAGCCATGTCAATCGATGTTAATTTATTGTCAATGCGCATTTCTCTCGCTGCGACACGAATACCAATGCAGGGGCTTTCCCGGTTTGCCTCTGTGTTTTCCCGTGTATGTGTGTGTTATGCAAAAAGGCTTTTCCTCTTGGCCATCCACAAAAACACGTGCGCCATGTGCACGTTATTAATCAACAAGGACCTACGACAAGCTCGTTTTCCCCCACCTCCCTCACTCAGGCTTTGTCCATTTTGGAAAATGCATCGAGAACACTCGGTGTGTGTTAGTGTGTGTCAGTACACTTTGAATAAAAGTGACTACCAATTTAGGGAACTAAATTTTTGGAACAAAATGGAATTATCATCTATCTTCGGCATATTTCTCTAGCTGAAGGCAAACCAGTCAATTATAATCGGATTCCTCACATGAGTAGTTTATTACAATAAAGTTACCTCAACGGGATCACAGCAGACTCCAGTGTTTACGTTTTTGGTAGTCAGACCGGAGGCTGTAGATTAAATTAGTTCACCTTATAACAGGACAAAGGAATTGCTTCATGATATAGTCGAAAATTGTGTGTCGAATAATTACTAATTCATTTTAGACAATGCAGTTGGAGCTCAAGGATACAGTAAGCTTCGATACATTGCATTCTGAATACCACACCGCTCTTATCACTTTTCACTCAGGTGAGGGAACAAATTTCTTTAATGTATCTTTTACTGTAAAAAAACTTCCCATTGTAACCAAACTTTCTAGGACTCTGATTCCTAAGGATCACAGCCTTAGAAGAACTAATTTTTCCCCGTGTAGTTGTGTGCGCTCAGTGAGGCTGAGCTGTTGGCTGCGTGCATAGCAGCTTATTACATACGAACAAACACAAACGCATGGCGACCAAAAGCAAAAGCATCACATATGCATGCATAGGTTTGCTCATGTATGCCTCCTACTAAAAGTGCACAACAAAAGTTCATTATCTTGTTGACACGTCCCACAAAAATTGGCTTAAACAGACGCTCAGCTTTGAATAGCTTTAAATATTTAAGCTGCTAGCCAGCCAGCCAATCCATCGTTGGAGCGATGGGAGTCATTAATCACATGCAGCGTTGATTAACTCGGAGCCAAGTAGAATGACATATTAGAACTGTGACTGAATAATCTGCGAATCTATCATAATTCAGGGAGAGTCTGCCCCTAACAAACCATTAATAACACAATAATAATGAATCCCCAAGGAGGAATGGATGACTGGGAACGGCGGAAAGAGGAAACCATGCGAATCCATCAAGCCGCTGGCCTAATCACTTTAAAGATCCAGCTGTAGTAGTAGTTGCCCCAAAAGATCAACAGAGCGCATAATAAATTGCATTTAGTGTTCTTTTTTTGTCTCCATTTTTTTGTGTGTGTGCTACCAAAGAGAGAAGAGATAGAATTAGGAGCTATGAAAAAAAAAGAAAATGAAAAGCCAGCACATGGGACGTTTTTACGTTTGTCAGTTGCATAAAACATAAAAATGCCAACACATTCGGACGGACATGAGCCATGATGGCACATGCCAAGAGCAGGCAGCATCCTACAGGCTGCAGGATTCGGGCTACAGGACCACCGCAGCGGAAATGGTGCAAAAAGCGGAACGGCTGACGGGGAAGGGAGGAGGCTTGGGGGAAATTAGAAAAAGCTATGGTGCGAAGGAGATAGAGAGCCTCAAGAAAGAAATGCTTAAAAACTCTTCACAGAACCTAAAGATACCCTAGAATTTAATTTATTCCTCTATCGCAAAAATTTAATTAATAAATTAAAACATAAATTAAATTCTTGTGGTTCTTAATCAAAAATATTTTCATGAACAGTTATTACTATCAACATTTTAAAGTAGAATCCGGAATCTTTAATTTTTTTTAAAACCAACTATTTTTAGGAAGTTGGGATTGTGCACACAAAAACTACAAGGGCGTACAGACTTGTAATTAAAGTAAATTATTTGTTTCTAACTTGGAAACAAGTTTGTTAGAAAACAAAAATTACAATACCCTGGCTTTGGCGTGACAGCAAAATGGAATCCGCTTGGAAGGATTTTATTTACATATTTTCTGAACAAAGCTGATTGAAATCGAAATCCCGGCTAAATGTCCAGCAGCACGCTTTTAGCATCCCTTTCGTTGCCATGCAACATTAATGCCCAAGTCAATAGCTTTCGAGGGATTGTTGATCTAGTCACAGTTACTCGTTAAAGTATGCAACGTGCCCCGCATGTAGGAGTTCGCTGATTGAATTCCGCGAAAAAGTTTCTCTCTCAATTTTCTATTTATGTTGGTCCTTCGCCCCTTTTTCGCCGTCAAAAGAGCACAAAATGTTTAATTAAATTCACGCGGCAATAGGAAAGAAATCGGAAACCAAAAACGAGCCAAGGAAAATAAACGAAAAAGCCAAAGAATTTAATTAAACTTTTTCTATTTTTACTCGCTTGAGTTTACGTCTTTTTTTTTCCTTTTTGGCCGCCGCAATGTCAGCCACGCATTTTAATTAGTTTTTTTTCTTTTTGGCTTACAAGTATGAGTGAGCGGAAATGGGCGCGTATGTGCTAAAAGGGAATCAAAAGTGTGGGCCAACAATTGACGCGTCCTGAGCGGAGGAAGCAGCGCAGGGCCGTCAAAAAACTTTCATACAAATGTCGCTCACATGCCAAATGCACACACATATTACACACATACTAATGGTAGAAAAAAGGTGTTGAACATTAACATTTCATGCGCATAAACAAATGAGTTTTTCCAGCGTCAACTTTTGATTACGTAACAAGCTTTTCGCCCCCACTCTTGCATATAATAACGTTTGAATTTTTTTTGCATACCAGATGGCCTGCATTTTTTTCGTAAAAAAAAAAGCAATTTAAAAAGCATGGTTATAAAATTCAGGAATTTCAATACATATTCGGATAATACATTTGCGGTTAAACTAGTGTTATTACATTTAAATACTATTGTAATCAGAGGTTTTAAAAGTATTCACGGACCGCTTTTTTCAACCACAAGTTTCAATTACGAATATTAAGTTATTAAAATGTATTTTTATAAGCTGCAGTTTATTGACTAATTTAGTCCTACAAATTTTTAAAGCTTTCGAACACCATACATAAATCATACATAAATTGCTTGAATTTTTGAAACCTTACCTGGTGCATTTTAACCCAATGTAAAAAAAAGGAAAATCGCCGTATTCGTTGAGGTGAAAAATATATGCGTAAAAAGAAGAAAAGGCTTATATTTACGTTATATTTGAAAAGTGAAAGAGTGCAGACTCTTCAGATATGCAAATGCGAAAACGAAACCCATCCGCAGCACTCTGCTCCACTCCTGATCAGCTTACAGAACTAACAGGGAGACTTTCGGGGCATGACGAAAATTTAATTAACTAATTTATATGTGCTAAAGAAACTTACCCCGCCACGTCCGCCTGAGCCCTCGATGCTATCATCATCGATGTAGATTTCATCCCGGGGTCGAGAGGCTGCTGGTGATGGCGCTGCCGCCGACGGCTTCCCGAGTTTCTGCAAATAAAGAATATTTTTTTGTGATATTTAATAACGATAATTTTTTAAACCATATTATACGATGATACGATACAATGTGTGGGGAGAATAGGAAACTTTTTTAATTTTCGCCAGAAACATCATCAACTTTTGTGGCCTTTCGTCGAAATGGAAATATTTTCATTTCATTAATTAGAGAGAGAGCAGACAGAGGAAAGTTTTTCGGAAAGTTGGAGTCACAGGCACCAAAGTTATGAGAGGTGGAATTTGCAAGCCAAAAAGGAGAGGATAAAATGCATTTAAATTGCCATCAGTGATTCGTATGACCGCAAAAATTTGCGATCTTTCCACGGCTCTCACCGCATTAAACAATTAATTAAGAACAATGCTTAAAGTGTATTTCGGTCCGCGTTAAATGCATTTTTAATGATGCGCTGGAAAATCAATGAGAAATGCAAATTGTGTGTGGTTTTTCCCTCCCCTTTATGAGCTACAAAGTGCGGGAAAGCAGCAGGAGGAGAGCAGGAAAGCAGGAAAGTCGCCGAGTTGCTGAGGCTTTTTCGGCCCAGTCGGACATTGCATAACACTGTGCAGCATTTTTAGTGCTTTTTAAATTTACCTCGATGGATGCTATATTTTTGGATTCGTTACGAATTCCCAAGTTAAACTGCGTTTTCCAAAAAGTTCCCCGACGCAAGGATTCTTAGCAAAAGGACCTCAAAGTTCAAAAAATGCTGAAATTGGCCAACTTTGCGGAGCTCTCAGAGGCAAATGGATGCATGGTTTGATTCGATGTTAAAGTTTTTTAAAAGATACACCCTTTATCTTTTAAACCCCATACTTAAAATATTTTTAAGATTTTTTTAAGGCAGAAACAAATTCTAGAAAACATAGTCAAAAAACATAAAAGTATACAGCTTCGGTCAAAATGGTAGTAGTGATGCCGCCCTGTGTATTTAAAAGTTTGTTGTTGTAATTGATCTTTTCCTGGTAATATTGTATTGATTATAATTTTACTATTAGACTATTTGGATAAGAAAAAATTACAACATCAAACTTTTAAAAACACAAGGCGGCAACACTGCTACTATTTTGACCGCAGCTGTATGTTTTTCAGTTTTTTGACTATGTTTTTTGGAATTTATTTCTGCCTTAAATAAAATCCTAAAATTATTTTATGTATGGGGTTTGAAAGATAAAGGGTGTATCTTTTAAAAAACTTTAACTTCGAACCAAACCATGCATCCATTTGCCTCTGAGAGCTCCGCAAAGTTGGTCAATTTCAGCATTTTTCGAACTTTGAGGTCCTTTTGCTAAGAATCCTTGCGTCGGAGAACTCTTTGGAAAACGCAGTTTAACTTGGGAATTCGTAACGAATCCAAAAATATAGCATTCATCGAGGTTAATTTTTGATGCTGCATAGTGTAATTAATGGAGCCCCATTCCACATCCACTTCTAGGAGCTGTCCGCATTTTATGGCCCAACATAAAAAGCAGAAGACCAGGGAACAGGGGATTGGGGATTGACTGGGGGGTCGCCTGACCATGTCCCGTGTTGCCTCATTAAGCCAGGGGAAATCGGGCGACTTTCCTCTTTTTTATGCTCCCCTTAAATGCGAATTGATGAAGACTTTACGAGCAACTGAAAAACTCCAATGGTGGTTTTCCCGTGCTTTCTATAGCCCCATTTTGGGGGTGTACGTATACCTACATATGAAACATTTTATTTTTCTTTGCTGTTATATTCGAATTTCTCACCATATCCCTAATGAAGACATATTTAAAGATTTATTTTGGAGAAATAATTTGTATTTAAACGCTTCAATTTGTTCTTACTTTTCTTACTATTTCCTATCATCTATAAAATAGTAAATTGTAAATATTTTATACTTAGTTAACATAAAAAGTCTTAGAAATATCTAGAGACTTTTTATGTAAAAACCAAGTTATACAATGATGGTTCGTTTCCTCATTTTCTGGAAAATATGAAGAAATCCGTGCCAACTTTGTGATCTATAAATTCCCTAAGCTTTTTCTCATTTATTTTCCAACTCATCGCGACAAAATCTTTCCCCTCCATAAGCCAAGCGAGTCGAAAAAGTTTGGCATAACATTTTCATTTTGCTGCACTTTTTCGCCAGTCAAACTGCGAACCGAATTAAGTTATCTTTGTTCGGGCGTTAGCTGTTTTTTGCAGATTAGCAGGCAAAACCTGAATGCGCCAACTTGGCGAGTCAAAGTTGTCGGGGCGAGAGTTGAGTTCTGAGCTGAGAACGTTTTAGAAGCTGCTGGCTGGCATTAAGTTTTTGGCGGGCTGTCAAGTCAGCCCGAGGTTGTCATTCATTCAGGTCGTCGGAGGGTTGAGCTGTGGCTGCGACTGCTCGACTGCTCTTCTCTAAACAATTTAGCTGGCAAGTTGCTTCAGCCACACACATAGGTGTGAATAACCGCTGGAGATAAACTCAAAGTTTTCGTAAAGGCAACAGGGAAATAAGAAATAAGAGGCAACAGTTTCTCATTCAGGCTTTCCGCCTTATGGCTTATTTATGTACCACGTCTGGATTTTCTTTGGATAGAATATTCCTCCCACTTCTTCTTTGGGTTTTCGGTCGGAAGTCAGGCTCTACTATTGATAGATTTCCTTGTTTTCCACTCTGCCTTCTTGTTTTCCTTTTCCACTGTTTTCATAATTGAAAAATTCCCCTCTTGGCAGGCAGCAAAAGTTTTCTTGCTTCTCTCGGACATGAAACGATTTTCCGGCTGGAAAACGTGCAAAATATTCTATGGGGAAATGTTTTGCCAGCTTCGGTTTTTACATTTTTTGTGAAGCTCTGTATTTTTTGGGCCAACGTTTCTGTGTATATTTTTCGCCAGCCATGCTTGGCTTGTTTCATATTTTAAAATGGCAACAATTTGCCAAAAAGGTTAAATTGAATTGCAGTTGGGCAAAATCCTCTCACCTATTTTTTCTGTGACAAATTGTGGCATTCAAAATAGTTGAGCGCCTTTTCGGGTTGATGACAAAAACAGGCCAAACCCTGGCCATAAATCAATAAATATACATATACATTGACAGTTTGTTCGCCTGAACGCGCGTTGTTATCGGGGGAATAAAAAAAAACCGAACCATTTTGTTTTTATGACAAAGAAAATATATTCTTTTGGGTTTTCATCTGTCAATATTTATGGTTTGCAAATATTTCCACTGCCGGAAAATCTATAAAATGCGCACATAAATATTTTAATGTTATTGAATTGCGGAATTTGCCAGGCACTTAAAGCCCTTTTTGTCCGCTCCGACGGATTCAAATAACTATTCACAGTCCGCTGATCGGAAGAAAAAAATTACATTTCAAATTGCTCAAACGAAGGGAATATTTAATGCGGAACAGTGGACAGATGAGCGGGGATCTGCCACTGATTCAATTGTGGCAGGCTCATTTAATGTGTCAATTGCATTACGCTAAAACCCCTCGTTTCAACAGTTGCAGTTCGCAAAAAGTGGAAACGTTGAAAAGGTTGAAGAGGAGTTAAACTGACAGTCAATGACAGAAGCTAAAGTGCGCAACGAAGCGAAGCTGACAGCCTCAGAGTTGGTTTCACTTCGCAGAGTATTATCTGGGTGGACGGGCCCCGAAATGTAGGCAATACATTTCGATCAATGCCCGAACAAGTATACGCAGCGTGGTACCCGCACGGCAAATCAGCAAAGGGCAGGTCAGCAACAAAAACGCGGCAGCCCACACACACAAAGGAACATATTCAAGTTGTCTGCGCTGTCATTATGTTGATGACATGGCAGCTTTTTCTTGCCTCCGTTCGGTTTTCTTGCCGGGTTTGGGTCTACCATTCCTTTTTCAGTTCCATCTGCTCCTGCCAGCATGCGTAGATTCATTTGGCACCCCGAAAAACCAAAGCGAACACCCAACCAATACCAAAACCAATGACAGCCAAGGCATTTACCCATTTCCGTTTGATACCCTAGATGAAAATGGTATTGCCAATATTTTCCCAGAAGAAGAGTTATAAAAATAATTTTACATTTTTCAAAATCTAAAAAAAAAAAAACTTAAAATAATAAAATCTATTATTTGTTTTCCCCAGAACACTAAATAGTTTTAAAATATTGGAATAGGTATATTTAAGCAATCAATTAAAGTGTATTTAACATTCGTATATTACGCACACAATTTGTTTTGTTGTTTTCTTGTCTTTTGGCCCCGAAACTGAATGATAAATAAACCAAATGCGTTGAGGCTTAGGTGAATTGAACATTTTCATTTCGTTTTCCCGGATTTTCTCTCGTTTTCCTCGCTGTGCGTGCCCTTTGTCCATTGAGGTGTCAAGAAGGTAAATATGAAAGTCCTCGTCCAAAAAGGGCGAATAAAAGCAAATCAAAACTTATTATGCGAATCACACACACAAATGTATATACATACATATGCACGTGGTGAGGCTGTAAGATTGTATTTTATTGCCGGCCATATGAGTGTGTTTGTGTGTGTTTATCTTTGGGGAGAACTTTTATGTTTATAGTAGTCGTAAAAAAAAGGAAACTTGACTTTTCCCATTTGTTGCTGCCTAAAACCTAATTGAACGGCAAAATTATTGCCCTTCCTTGGGGGCAAATAACAAAAATTCAACTGGGCCTAAAGTAGCCAAAACAACAATAGCAATAGCAATTCACTAGCCCTACAGCCAGGGGCATTAAATTTTCATTTGGCCAGGCCAAATATTTAAATTATGCACCACACGAATTTGTTTCACATGCAAAATAACAGAAAAGCTCGACAATGCAATTAGTCCGACAGACAGATAGTCGAGGGAATTTTCAACTTTTTCCTGTGACCAGCACAAGTCCTAGACACATCAAGAACGCACTGATGTGTAAATAATGCTAAAAGGTGAACAGAGAAAAAAAATAGTCTACATCGAAAAAGTATATGATCAACTTTAATAAACCCAAAAATTCTACTTAAATCTATATTATAAATATATTACAATTTAATAAAAATTCT